GGAGTAGATTTAGGGAGTATTATATTAATGTGACTCTCCATTCACGCGACCAAAAAACATATCTATTAATTCACTTTAAAATACTGACCCATTTTTTAGATATCAAATAAAATCAACTACCTATGTTAGAGATTTACGAAAATACGTGTAACTTATTTAAAGTTATTTAAAGACCTGTCTTTTGTTTTTGTAATAAAGATTGAGCCTAAGATATTTGTTTTCACTATCTTTCTGAACTTATTTTTGCCTTGTATTGCATTGCTTTAAACTTAATATAGTACAAGAATTAAATCATAGCTTGGAACTGTATTTTATCGGTTCCAGCACGAAAACTTTAAATTGTATAAACTGTAATTTTCATAGTACGATTTGATCTTTTACGTACAAAAACCAAAATCAGAGTATCCTATACTATGAACTTACAAACAACATTTACATTTTGTTAATAATGTTCCCACAAAATAAAGCCAGTTTAAATATCATGAAATGCATGTTATACCAATCAATATGCAATCATTTAGACACAACTTTAATATTTTTGCATCCAAATGAGACGTATTTACAGCGGCTATCTAGCTTCTACGAGTACTATTCATGGATATTGAAATCTCTAGCTCTGAGCTGTTGATAAGCACAAAAAATCGAGAACTGGGTTTGTAACTAAATTTAAAAAAAAAAATGTTCAAAAGTACAAGACCTTGACGTTGCAGAGTTCAACGGCATTATGATGACGTCACGAGTAATTAAAGTGATAATAGGTGGAGCACTACGTAATAGCGACTGTGAACAGATAATTTAATACGTTATAATTATAAATCTACTGTCAATCTTCTGTACTCTTGAAACATTATGGTTATTTTTCACTTGTTCATTTATTTCCATTGTAGGAAGACGCGTAATAAGACTAGTGAGTGGTTACCGTACGTAGTTCATGGACATCAGCAATGTTAGGCGCAAAGCCGAGTCGCAGCCCTAGCGATGAGTAATCTCAGGAAGCACTGTGAAGGGAAATTGTTACTAAAAAGGTCTATGGAAACGCACCGTGGATGAATACACCGCTATAGTATAAATAAACCCTGCTCTGATGGCGGGAGTTGCGTTCATAAAAAGGTAGACGAAGGGAACATCTCGAGGACTTTCTCAAAGCACTCCCATGGAAAATAGATATTTCATAAGTATAGTAAAAGGTAGGTACAAAGGTGCAAAAATTTTGACAGTGGTAATAGATATGATAATGTATGAATAGATAATCTGTTTTTTTTTATAACGGTTAATTTAATTTTATGTTGAATGATGCACAGAGACACGTTTGCTTTAATTTACAGGCTTCAGTAATTGCTTGACACATGATTCGTAAAAGGCTTTCTACATGAAAACCTCAAAACAATGTAGCGTCTTAACCTGCAACTAACATTCTTCAAGTTGATATCACCTTCTCAAATCTGCACAATAAATAGTAGTTTGTTTGGGATTAAATTCTAGATGTCTATTAGCGACTGTGTACATCGCTGGAAATAAAATGTAGAGTTAATTAGCACACAAATAAAGCGCATAAAACATGACGTGGTTTCATTTCACAATTATTTATTTCATAGACAGTAAAAAAATACTTCGTTTTACGACTCGATCATGCTTCGTGCAGCACGTTAGGGTAAAACACTCGAAATATCGATACTATTTTGTACATTTATTATTTTTTCTTCGCGTTTATAATATATTCATTGGCAACATCGTAGGATATGTCATGAGATGTCAACAGGATAATTTCGGCGGGAACGCGAGGGGCGAATTTTTTTTTACTGTGTTGATTTTTTTTTATTGCCTTTGCCCATACGAGCGTACGGCCCACCTGATGGTAAGTGGTTACCGTCGCCCATGGACTTCAGCAATTCCGGAAGCAGAGCCAAGCCGCTGCCTACTTGGACCCCATTCACCTTGGCTTTGGGGTGAATCAGGTTACGTATGGGGACAATAGTTTTTCGATAGGGCTGGCACTATTTAGTTGTTAGGTAGGTACCTAACTTTAGGTAATTAACTTTTTAATATCTCTAATGAGTGACAAACTTTGATGACTAAGTTAAATTATTTCATATTCTTAAACACTAAATAAAAGTCATTTTCAGTTCAACAAAGTTAAATCGAAGAACTCAACGAAAGTATTGTGACATCCCAGATTTGTCCCTATTCTACCTCTAGTCGCTATTCCCTCCAATCTACTGTAACTGTTTGTGTAAAATGAAGCAATGTCCATTGTCCCTCTACTTGGCTTTTCAGATACCTTCAAAAAGTGCGCTGACCATTTTACTGGGATATTATTTCAGTTCGGCTCAGCATGTCTCATTGATAATAATTTAATTAATCTCATCCAGATTTATTATTATTTCAGATAAATCGACTTCATTTCATTCCACACAATTAAATATTTATAAACTATATACTAGATACATTGACATCGTAACAAGCAGATTGCCAGACTGTGAAAAAAGAAAAGACGCAAGCAAGTAGGTACCTGCCTACCCGCAGCGCAGTAAACATTTTTTTTACCAAGCTATTGTCTTTCGTTTACTTAGATCGGTGACTGCGCTCACAGGGCACCTGATGTTAAGTGTTATAGGAGCTCAAAGACATCAGCAACGTAAATGCCGCCACTCACCTTGAGACATGACTTCTGAGTCTCAGTTTTACAATATAACGGCTGCCCCGCCCTTCGAAGCGAAACGCATTGCTGTTTCACGGCAGAAATAGGCAGGATGATGGTACCTACCTGAGCGGGCTCAGGACGCGGATTTCAGTCAGTCAGTCAGTCTCATAGGCGATCTTCCTCGTATATATCGTGCATAAACATTACGTAAACGATTATTGACTAACTACTTTTTCATAGAACTTTTTTGACAGACTCGCTGGTGCAATAGTTAGCGGTCCTGACTATTGCGCTGAGGGTCGTGTGTTCGATTCCCACATCGGGCAAACACTGTGCGATGAACAGATTCGTTTACTCTTTGTCTGGGTGTTTATCACTACATAGTATAATACAAAGTCACTTTCTCTGTCCTTATATCCCTATGTATGCTTAAATCTTTAAAACTACGCAACGGATTTGGTGCGGGTTTTTTTAATAGATAGTGATTTAGCCCGAGAGCCCGTGGGATCTACCTGTATGTATTTGACCAGACCTGAATTTTCGTACATTGAGACCCCTATACCTACCATGCATGAGGTGGGGACTCACTAAGCTCAAAGTGGTCGACGCGCCGAGCGCTCAGGTAGGACAGGTACCGATTTTGACGGATTTTAAATCCATTTGACCACGTCTGCCGTTTTGAAATTNGGAGAAACTCACAATTCTCGGACAGATGGAGGGGAAGCGCGCTAGAGGAAGAGCGCCAGCTAGATGGGTTGACCAACTCAAGGAGGTGACTGGAGGCCAGATATGGGGAGCGGTACATATGGCGCAGAACCGGACCGAGTGGAGAAGATTGACATACAGTCACGATCCTCAGCATTGAGGGAACGACCAGAAAGAAGAAGAAGAAAAGTCATTTTCAGTTCAACAAAGTTAAATCGAAGAACTCAACGAAAGTATTGTGACATCCCAGATTTGTCCCTATTCTACCTCTAGTCCCTATTCCCTCCAATCTACTGTAACTGTATAGTGTTTGTGTAAAATGAAGCAATGTCCATTGTCCCTCTACTTGGCTTTTCAGATGCCTTCAAAAAGTACGCTGACCATTTTACTGGGATATTATTTCAGTTCGTCTCATCATGTCTCATTTAATTTAATTAATCTCATCTAGATTTATTATAATTTCAGATAAATTGACTTCATTTCATTCCAACCAATTAAATATTTTATAAACTAGACACTGGATACAATCATCATGACATCGCAACAAGCAGGTTGCCATGCTGTTAATAAAGAAAAGATGCAAACAAGTAAGTATCCGCAGCATAGCATACTAAATTTTTTTTAACCAAGCTATTGTCTTTTGTTTACTTAGATCGGTAGATGCGCTCACGGGGCACCTGGCGCTAAGTGTTATAGGAGCTCAAAGACATCAGCAACGTAAATGCCGCCACCCACCTTGAGTCACGAGTTCTAAGTCTCATTTTTACAATATAACGGCTGCCCCGCCCTTCGAAGCGAAACGCATTGCTGTTTCACGGCAGAAATAGGCAGGATGATGGTACCTACCCGAGCGGGCTCAGAAGGTGGATTTCGCGAGTCGCGAGACACAAGAGTCAGTCCACCTCATAGGCGATCTTCCTCGTATATATCGTGCATAAACATTACGTAAACGATTATTGGCTGACTATTTTTTTTGACTGACTCGTTGGCGCAATAGTTAGCGGCTCTGACTATTGCGCTGAGGGTCGTGGGTTCGATTCCTACGTTGTGCGATGAACAGATTCGTTTGCTCTGTGTCTGGGTGTTTATTATCTATATATTGTTAATCCTACCTAAGCTGACGATCTTCAGAGACCATATCAGCGTCACCGGGCGAGTAGGTGAGCTCACGGGGCTCAAACCTGACGTTGTTGCTAACATGAACCCTAGCAAGAGTCGTGCTTCGCAGAATCTACCACCGGATCGGAAACGCGACCCACTGAGAAGATCCGGAAAGAAACTCAGTGGGCTGTGTCTGCGGGTTAATTTACTCGTCGAGCCCTTCGTCGCAAGCGACGGGTTCGACGAGAACGATGACCGGTGCTTGAGGTCCCTAAAAGCACCGTTAGTGGATCGGGAGGATCCGAAAGGAAGTGTTTTGGGCGACGTCGACTGTTCACCATTCGGTCCGCAGGATCGGGAATGTAGTTGCCGGCGGCCACGATGAGAGGGTATCTATATACGTATATGTTTAAATGTATAGAAGTATGTTTATCAGCCTTTGGTGTCCATAACACAGGGAAACCTAAATTAGGGCCGAACGACTGTGCTTAATTTTTTCCCAGTAATTATTATTATTATTATTATAAAAATAGTAAATGAAAATCCGAATACATTTTTCCGAACCAAATTTATTTTTCAAATTTTTTTTTGTTTCAATAAGAACAGAGTAAATTATTTATATCATACACTGAAGATTAGAAGCTCGTGAATCTTGTATTTACATTACAAACATAAAGTTTTATTCATATTTTTATATTTCAAATGAATGGCTACTGAATCGTCAGAAACACATTCCTGAATGTCATTTCTATGGATCATTATGTCGGCTGTGAAACCGAATATAACGCGTTATATTAGAATCGGGCTGGATAAGAATAACAAAATATTCCACTTTTAAAGACACCCAAAATTGTAGCATACATATTTTTATGTGGAATTTATTATAGGTGACAGTCAGAAACTTTGAGAAACAGTTTGCAGATTGATATATATATATATGTTTTTTTTTTTACATTTAATGAAGCGTAAAAAGTTGAGATACAATGTTTTAGTTTAATATATTATAGTATATTACAGAAAACTCCAAGGATGTACACATATATCCTTGATATATAGAGATATCCTGGCTACAAATACCACGGCAACTATGTCGGAAAAAATCCTCTGTCTCGTTCTAACGGTCGCGTTAGAAAAGGACTAATGATCAGACACGCAATGGAATCCTCAACTTACCGTTGCCAGGAGACCTCCCAGCCGTGAGCATTCGTGAGCAGCCACGTGACGTCACAGTGGCACTTACCGAGCTTCAAACCAGCCAGGACACTCTCTGGCTCAAAATAGCGATTAAAGTAATAATAATAATCATAATTAAAACCTTATCCCAATTACAGCTGAAGTACTAAAAAATATAAATCCCTTATTACAAAAATTCTTAGCTTAAATATTATTATTATTTACAAATTGAACTACTTACATTTTATTTACTGCAAAATGGTTTTTATAAAAACATTTCGAAATTCATCAATTCACTTTTTCGATTAAATAAAAATAAAAATAACATTAATTTTATTATTTTCACATTCCGAATTCAATTCAAAACAGAAAATTTACAAACGACTCGAGTCGCTAATGATTAGTTCTAAATAAAATTAAAACACGACCAGCTAATGACATCAACAATGCCAAGTTCACTGCCAGTCTCCCGCCCTCTGATGGAACACAACTCAGCACAGATGTATCATAACAATACACAATCTCTACAAAACTCACAAATATAACTCCCGACGCTTCTCACCCTACCCTGGCAGACCTCTGTCTGCCTGTTGTTAACCGCCTCATGTTGCCGATGCCATTAACAATGCCAATTCAATGTGGAACGGCTGCCGTCTAGTGCCAACTGTGAGCACTAGCGAATTTTATGTGTCATGTTACGTATTTTTTTTTCTTTTGTAAATCAATTAAAAACACATTTAAGCATGCCCAGTCTGGAAGTCGCGACCCCGTAGTTTCCGAAGTACGCATTTATAACCGCTGGGTCATGCGCATTTTGAAATGATTCGAACCGTTCTTGTTAGTTTGCAGTAATTGTTATTTACACTTTGCTTTATGATTAATTAAAAACTGGAATAATATATTTGATTGATTATATTGCTCTATTTAAAACGATAAAGCAATATATGGATGGGGCTATGCAAAACACATCCATGAAAAAAATGTTAACAATATAAACGTCTCATTTGAGACAGCTAATTTCGTTGTGAACAACTTTAAAAATTAGCATTTTAACTCTGACAACACATAACATTTTCTACAAGAAAATCATCATTTAAACTTCCAACAATTCAATGGTTCCGTTTTGCTTAACCACGTCCACGAAACATTTACACACAAATTAATACAAAACAAATTTCACCGTTCTAATAGATTAAATATGGAGCATCTCTAATTTTACAGAATCGATTATATATTTTTATTTATTCATGGATGTATGTATTTTAAACATGAATAAAAATAGTTTATTTATATATTTTGTATACATTTATTTATATTACAGCTCATAATAAATATTATGGCCACAGAACCGTTATTGTTCATTCGCATATTGCCTGATTGCATATTACACGCACGAAAATACTATAAACAAATACACTAACACATATTGTTTGTTCTCAAGTCTTGCACACACTGAACAGTCATTGGAAAATCGCATTTCATAAAAACTAGTCACAATTCGGTAGACGGTTCGAGAAAATCAAATATCTCCTTTCGAATCAGTATTTTGGAAATCTCGGGTAAAACTGTTTGAATCCGGTCCTTGTTCGCGAGCCGAAATTCATTCTGAACGGTCGAACCGTCGGCCTCGCGTACCCGGGTTGGCCGGGGCGCGGCGGCCGTGACCCGGATATCCGGATGGCTGGGTACGTCGGCGGCGGCACCGAGTAGTCGGGCGGCGGCACCGGACATGGCAATGGCTGGGTCGAGCGAGCCGGTGTCGCGCTCTGGTTGTCCGAGCCCGAAGTACCCAAGACACTCACTCGGCAGCCCGGTGGAGGACTCGAGTAGTCCGGTGGTGGAATTGGGTAGTTCCTTTGACGTATAGGATTCGACAATGTGTTCGAATTGGCTGATGGCGTATAAGAACACGCCGCTGCGGTGTATGAACCAATTCGGGTTGTACTTGATGTTGCCGAAGGTGTCTTCGAAGACACCGCGGTTTTCTTGGTCGACACTTGAGACGTACTGGAATATCCGTGTGACGATTTGAAAGACGACGGGGTTCGGTTGTAAAACACTGGGGGCGCGTAATACGACACTGCACGCGCGTTGTACAGTGCGGGGAGGGTTTTCGAAGGCAACGGTTGTGTTTTGGATGCGATAGGGGCATTAGAGGATAATGGGGGTGTTTGGGATATCGGAGGCGTGTCGTCGGAGGGTTCTGTGACTGCACTGCAGGAGCCTGGCGGCGTATCGCAGTATATGGGAGATGTGGCCAACGTTACGTAGGGTTCGGACGTGGATGCAGAGGCTGTGGTTGAAAAAGTACTAGTCGATTTTGGAGATGATTGAGAGCACGTTGCTCGGGTAGTCGTCGAAACTGTAGGCACATTTGATGAAACAGTCGGCGTTTCCAAGCTCGCTGGTGCCGGTTGAGTCTCTGTGGATCCAGACGCTGACGGTTTGTTCGAATTTTCCGGTATTAGATTGGAGTTTGTTGTCAATGGATTCGGGTCAGCTGGTAATGGTTCCGAGTTTAACGGTAATGGATCTGAGTTTTCTGCTGGTGGACTCCTGTTTGCTGGTGGTGGATCTGAGTTTGCCGGTAATAGTTTCGAGTAAGGCGGCGGTAGGTTCAAGTGTGCCGGCGGCGTTATGCAAGTTGGTAGCGGAACTGTCCACACTAATTCTGGACTCGAGCAAGTTGGCTTCGGACTGGAACACCTTGATTGGGGCTTTGAGCTCTTCGGTTCTGGGCTAGAGCATGGCGAATGTGGACTCATGCATGCTGATAGTGAACTAGCGCTCGGCGAGCGTGGAGTGAAGCAAGGTGAGGGCTGACTCGAGCTTGTCGACTGCGACCTTGAGCGTGACCCCGTGCACTCCGAGCGCGACCGCGTCGTCTCCGAGCGCCGACTCGACAGCGTCGTGAGGGAGTTGAGGCTGGCCGAGCGCGAGGTCGCCCGCGCTAAGGAGTCACTCGCGCTACTCGAACGTGAAATTGTGGACAGCATTTGCGAGAGAGAACACGGAAGTGACAGTGTTGAACCCGTCGGTAATTCCTTCGAACTCGACAGTTGCGTGTTGGAGCGCGTCTGTCGAGGAGTCGAGAACGGAGACTCCGTGCTAGACGGTGCCAGTGGTAAAGTAAAGTCTGCTAGTACATCTGACGAGCACGTCGGCTTCGCACTAGAGCACGACGGTTGTCGCTCGGAGTTCGGCGGCCTGCTGGTGGAACACGAGGGCTGCGGACTCGAGCAGCCGGGCGCCGGAGTCGGACTCGTCCCCGGTCCTGGCGATTTCGTAGTCGAGATTTGTTGCGTCGAAGTCGAATTAACGTTTTCAGCGGCCGCGTCGTCGGCGGCGCTGCGAGCGGCGCGGAGCTCGAGGCCGCGACGGTGCCGCTGTATCACTTTGTCGAATAAGTCTTGTAACGATTCTATGAGGGCGTCGGCGTCGGCGCAGGACAGGTATTCCCCGTCGATAAGTTTGTATATGAGTTTGGCGATTTCCCGGAAGCTGTGCGTGTGCGTGCGGCAGTTGGCGCAGGAGCGATGGCGGAAGGGCAGACGCAGCGCCGCACGCGACAAGCGGCGGAGCTGCGGGCCCAGCGCGCCCTAGAGCAGCGCCCGCGCCGCGCTGCTGCCGGGCCGCGGCCGCCGTCAGNGCCCAGCGCGCCCTAGAGCAGCGCCCGCGCCGCGCTGCTGCCGGGCCGCGGCCGCCGTCAGCGCGCCGCCCCGCCGCCCCCGCCGCCGCCCGCCCACCAGCGCAGGCACGCCGGCTCCACGCACCGCGCGCGCCCCGCCCGCCGCATCGCCTCCTCCAGCACCTCCTGCGTCGCGACACAACACGTCATATACGGAACCACTCTAATTAATACGGAACCACTCTAATTTTTTACTGGTGGTAGGACCTCCTGTGAGTCCGCGCGAGTAGGTACCACCACCCTGCCTATTTCTTCCGTGAAGCAGTAATGCGTTTCGGTTTGAAGGGTGGGGCAGTCGTTGTAACTATACTGAGACCTTAGAACTTATATCTCAAGGTGGGTGGCGCATTTACGTTGTAGACGTCTATGGGCTCCAGTAACTACTTAACACCAGGGGGGATGTGAGCTCGTCCACCCATCTAAGCAATAAAAAAAAACTTTATAACTAAACTAACCTGTTTCTTTAGGACAATATGTTTGCCCTTCCAATATTTCATGAGCCCTCGCTCCTGCAGCGTGGAAACTATATCCGACGATGCTATAGCCAAGTCTTTGCTCAGATCTCGGATACATAGCGTGGACCCCGAAGCACTACACAGTCTCTTCAGCAAAGCTTCCTTCCAGTACGACCGGTAGGAGATCAGGCCGAGATCGGAGAGTGGAGTTTCCGGGGAGCCCACCTTACCTTCTACCTTAGTCAGTAGGTAACCTAGTAATTGAATAATATTTAAACGTCATTTAAGCAATAAATGCACTAGTAGGGTAAACTATACTATTATAAGTATTGACACTCGGATTTACTGAAAACAGAACATTCGTCTTTTTAAACAAATGTAAATTATTTGGTAGTTTACCTTATTACAGTAACAATATCGATTTTAGTTCTCGAGCGATATTCGTCCATGTTAGCAATAAAATTTGTATGGGTAACTTGTAAAGAAAGATAAATGAAGAACGCAGGAAACTACTTAGTGCTTGCCCGACAAAATGTCGTTCATCAATATAAAGTTATTATACCAGAGGGTGCCAAGAATTTTATAATTGTATTTGTTTTTTTTCAGAATTAATTTTGTTAGCCTTTATGCCTTCTAACAACATAGCTTCTGAATTGAACAGTTCATGTTATGTTCGGTATTCGTATTGTATTCCTTCTGTTTCTGCATATTTTATTAGAAAACAAAATTCACGTGTATACTGCTTTGTTGCTACGCGTTTTTTTACATATGGTCATCCAGTTTATATTATGCAAGTTTTTGATTGACACAGAGCTGGCATAGGGTTCGGGTCTAGCTTATTGGGATCATTAAGAATTGTCGGAATATCAATTACATTTCTTCTGAGATCGCAATACGAAATATAAATCACATTAGCCTAACGATTTGTCTACTCTATAGGTTATTTACCTATCAATGTGTTTTTTTATTCTATTAATTAAGTCAATTTTTATTAGAACCATGATTATCGTACCCTACAAGAGACTACTAGTGATGTAAATAAATTTCCCGGTTACATACATTTTAATACACATAATTTCAATTATGAAACCCAAAAACCTAATAATCTGTATATAAATAGACAATTGAAAAAAACTATTCAAAATCTTTTAGTGAGATTTAGTATTATCAATAAAATTTTTGGGAATATATTATATTATCAATAGAAACGAATCTATATCTTGAGGTGTTGGTGTTTACGGTTAGGACCCTGAAACTGCGATACTTTAAAGACAAAATTAAATGTTTTTATTGTATGGAAACTAGCGACACCTTGTAGCGGATGCCCCTAAACTTATATGTTGGTAAAGTTAAGGCATTTAATTATTGTATAAACTAGCTGACCCGGCAGACTTCGTAGTGCCTCAATCTATAAATAAAAGACCGACGGGGGACACATCGAAGGAAAAACAAAATTGTTATTTTTATTTAATTCCGAGCATTTTCATATTTATCTACCTTTTAAACCTTCTCTGGACTTCCACAAATAATTCCACAAAATTAGCCAAATCGGTTCAGCTGTTCTCGAGTTTTAGCGAGACTAACGAACAGCAATTAATTTTTATATATAGAGATAAGTACTTAAAATAAAAATAAAAAATAAATTATACAAGTCTCTATTTTTTATAGACAAATTGATTAAATTTTATCAATTTGTGATATCGGAAAATTTTCAAAATCCTTCATTAAAAATAAAATATAGGATAGGTAATATGTTACTGCCATCTACAGGAGCAATGAGAAACTAATCGTAGCGACGCCATCTAGTGGCCGATGCCCATAAACATTTTTGTTGAATGCTTGAGTTGCTTATCTATAATTAATTTATGTATATTATCTATGTTTACGGAATTTCGATCGTCGAGCGATCGCCAGTTAAATTATATAAGCACTAATTAAACCTTACAGCAGCACTTATAACTGATACACGTTTAACAATAACCACGTTTTCTCCCCCGTCGGAAGCGCCTCACGCCAATATTTCGTGGGTTAGGTCCCGTCGTGGGGGCGGGGATGTCTAGACGGCGGTCCGATCTATACTGCAGTGCATCGATCGGGGTCAACGCCCCCGGGGGAACGACACACACCCCAGCCCTTTGGAGGGTCACGATTTGACCGCACAGGTGACGTGCGAGTGAATTGTAAATTTTTACTAACCGGCCTGTGATTAGTGTATTTGTTTTCGACATTATTTATTGTATTATTATAGATTTTAGGGTACGGCCTTGCCGCCAACCTGTGTGCTTATTGCGAGTCTTTTAAGGTTCTCGATAGCGTAAAAGTTAACTTAAACTTGTATGGAGTTGGAAAGTTTGCCTTCGTTTGCCGCTAGGGGCGCTGTTCGAACTGCATACAAATTTGAGTTAACTTTTACGCTATCGAGAACGTTAAAAAACTCGCGCTAAGCACACTGATATGAAGGGGTTACCCAAAATCATTCATATCACAGCGTGAATGCCGCCAATCGTCTTTGAGATAAGAGGATAAGCTTTCAGGACTATTGTATATAAACCGCCCTACTGTTCCAGAAATACACAGGATAATTGTACCTATTCGTGCGGGCTTACAAAACGCCCTACTAGTTATTACGCAAGAATAATTTGATGACTTCATATTACACACGTTATTTATCAAGAATTGAGAAAGACAAAGAGAACAGCTTCGACCGGGCGAGTGAAATTGCTTGTTAGACTGATAGTCCGAATCTGGTCAGAGCTCAACTCGTAAATATGCAAGCTTATCTTGAAAATGTTGTTAGCGATATTTAGGCATCTATAAAATACTTTTCTTCGAAGATAGCTACTGCCACATCGTTGTATTTTTTTATTTTTTTATTTAATTTACTTCAGATTTTACATCCATATTACATACACGTCTTCATTACATTGCATTAAAATTTAATTTATACTAAAATTAAATAAAAATAATAACTAATCTCGGACTAAAACCAAAAAATAATAATAATAATAAAAACAAAAAATCAAATAATAATAATAATAATAAAACAAAAACTCTAAATTAACATGAAAACTATCTTAACCTAAAGGCTGGTTTGGATCCAGAGTGCTCAAAATGCACACGTGTCCAGTGTTGCATTATTGGGCAGTCCAGATCCATTCGTGAGGCGAACAGCCATAGGTAGCGGTTGCGACTGACCCGCACACGGCGAATTAGGGAAGCAATTCGCTTACGAATGATTGCTGCGAAGCTATCTATTCGTAATATTGTACAATTGAGGCCTTGCACTCATATCTCAAGGTGGGTGATGGCATTTACGGTAGCTGCGTCCGAGTGTCTAGTCCAATGAAAGCAGGATAGGATGGGTCTAAGGACTAAGAAACAATACTGGCTTTTTGCAAATATGGATAGGATTAAAACGAGCTAAGCCTCAAATGAAATAAGGGTACGAATACCATACCAAGGGTAGACCCTGACGGTTTTGACGACACATTAAATGGTATTTTCCCAAACTTTAAAATCCGGATTGCGCCTAAGTCATTTTAATGTCGGTCAAGAGACACCTTGCAAATTATAAAATTATATATGTAGTAGAAATACTCACTGAAGTCGATCAATAATCTGCCATAGCCTTGCCTTTGATACGGCGGTAGCGTCAAGATACACGACACGTTGTAATTCAGGAACGAATTCTTTTCCTGTAACAAATTATTAATGTACAATTTTTTTTTTATTTGTCTTGCTAGAACATTCTATTATACTTGAGACCTTAGAACTTATATCTCAAGGTGGGTGGCGCATTTACGTTGTAGATGTCTATGGGCTCCAGTAACCACTTAACACCAGGTGGGCTGTGAGCTCGTCCATTCATCTAAGGCCTAAGCAATA